TTGATTGTCCACCTGCCACTGAGCCTCTTGAACCTCTGTCAGGGTGTACCCAGTAGTTTTACCCTTGTTTTGGTCCCAAACACTCAATTCATCTCAGTCCAGCTCTGTTTGATGAACATGGTTATAGTGTTGCACCCGGGCATCTACCTTTGCCCAACGAGGCTGCAGATGTTCTTTCAAATACTGCAAGTCATATTGTCAACATGGGGAATAGCTGGGAACCACAAGACCATACTGTGCAACGTGGTGCATGAGATCTTTTGCAAAATCCTTGCTAATAATATCTGCATACTGGAGACTGTTGAGAGAAGATATGCAAACAATTAGCAGAGATGTACGTCATTGCCTGCCTCCCGCTGAAGTGAAGTTGTCCCTGCTGCTGGAAACTTCAAATCAGACATCCAGCCACTAATTGTTTGGCCCATCTTGTTTGCCATTGCGGCTTTCTTTGCATCGGAGAAACCTAGCCCCCTTGCCTTGCCTCCAAGAAACTGTCTAAATGTTTCAATTGCAGATTTCAATCAATGGCAAAGAGCACACACAGTGGGTCATCTAGATTCTCTGGATGGTACTCTAGAATCGACAATCACTGTTTTGAATAGTGGAAAACGTCTGTGCCTGGTCAATACATAAATACTCTGCAGATAGGATGGTTGAATACTCACTGGTAATACAAGTATGCCTGACAAATACTGTCTAATTTGATCCAAAACATGATGATGGACAAGGCATTGTGTACTTTTGTCGCTGAGCTCAGTACCAGTACCTGCTCGCTGCCCTCGGCCCCGTTTGATTCGATGGTTTGAACCCTAGAAGAACATTAGTATACACCCTCTCAATGAAAATTTTGTAACCTGACCTTGAAGTTGGTGTAGCGGATCACTGCTCTTTCTTCTCCATCAACAAGTTGCTCTACAGTTACATCTCTCACACGAGGAAACTGTTGGAACCCATATCAGTAGCCATCCGTAGTCAATTTGGCCATGCTTACCTTGCCCTCACTACAGTACTTTTTGTTACTGGGTCCTAAAGTAGAGATGTGGCAAGTAGTATAAAACATCAGCAAAAGACTGATTATACAGTTAACCACAACCTGTTATAACAAAATCTCAGGTTTGCAGTGAGATATGCCAAACACAAGTGACTTACAGGTTGTTGTATAATCCTCTACTTATGAAAATACAGAAGACACTTGAGCATCTTTCTGGGCACGTGAATTGGTAGGGAGGACCCTCACCTTGAACCTCACTGATGAACGTTGGAGCCAACTGGTAGTGGACTTTGAAAAGGTACATCATTAGAATCCAATGATGGACAGACAATACGTGAAAAAAGTGAGGCCTGCCCGGATTGAATGGACGACCTTATCCCATGCAGCCCGTTCAATCCTTCAACAAGTAGACTCAAATCATTTGTAGAACAGTCACATCTGTTCTTGTTACTATACCTGGTAGAGCTCTGTGATACTTTATGTCAGACTCTGAGCTGTATTCTATTGTATGTGTAGAGAATCATTGCTTTTATGTGACATGAATGTAGAACTAGATTGTCAGGCATACAAGGCTTCACTCTACAGCTGCTACTATCGGTGACGCAGTGTTTAAAACCGGGTGAGTGTTTAAAAATTGCGTCCTGTGTACTTTCCCGACGTCCTTTTGGTCTCGGAGATTAACGGAACATGATTTTATGCTGCTGCTCAGTAATATTGTACAGTTTTTATAGCAGAGCATTGTAGTACAGTCTTTCGAGACTGCAATCTTCTGCTCGAGGTCACTGATTTTGGCATCAATGGCTCAATTTCTTGGGCGCTCATGATGGGATACCCACAAAAATCAATTTGTATATACATATCTACCAGAACTATATGTCTTGCTGGTTTTTTAATGGTGCGCCCGCTATATGAGAGTATCGTTGAAGAAAGGACAAAGAGCGTGACGTGGACAAAAAGCGGCGATCAATCGGAGTTTGAAACAGGATGCCGATTAAATAATGATGTCAACACGCGTCGCGTCGTTGATTTTTTTGAGTTCCAGCAAACACTTCAGAGCGCACTCTCACTCTTTCCAGTCTGCTCCTGCTAGCCTAGGGCTGCTCCTCTCTAGTTTCTCTTCTCAATGGCATGCCCAGGCCATCTCACTTTGATCCCCAGCGAGAGAAGTTCATTCAAGAAGGTGTCAGCATCCTTCGGCAGCAGGAGGAAAATGGAGAAGATCCTAACGTCAAAGCAGTCAAGCGACACCTTGACGAGAAGTACCAGACAGATGTGCCTTATGGTACTCTGTATAATCGTTTTCATGGTTTACATCAGGCTGCACCATTTGCACATGTCAAACAGATGCTTCTTACCCCCGAACAGGAAGCTGCACTTGTCCAATGGATCACTCTCCTTTCCGATGCCGCCAATCCAGTCAGCAAACGATCATTGCGCAAGATGGCGGAGCTTCTATGCGGTAAACGGCCAGGCAGCACATGGATACGAGGATTTCTTGCACGGCACCCAGACATCAAGCTTGCACGACCATCTGGTCTGGACCCGAAGCGTGCTCAGGCTTTCAACAGGCCTGTGGTTGAACATTACTTTCAGCTACTGTTGGAGCTTGTTGAGAAGATCCCTCCGGAGCGTCGGTACAACATGGATGAGAAGGGGTGTCAACGTGGCGGTGGAAGAAAGGTTCAGCAACGGAAGTATTTCGTTGCAAGGAACAGGCGGCCAAAGTACAAGCATAGGAGTGACAACCTGGAGCTTGTCACAATTATTGAGTGCGTATGTGCAGATGGAACCGTGCTCACACCTGGGTTCGTTTTTTCGGGCACACAATACTGTGAGGAGTGGTTTGATGCACGGTATCCAGGGTTATGGTGCGTAATAGCTCATTCACTTTCTCATTCTCACACTGACTTCACGTTCCACTAGCGTCTCATTATCCGAGAATGGGTGGACTAGTGACACCATTTGCCTTGAGTGGTTTCAGAAGTCATTCATACCCCAAGTCCACGAAAAACACCCGGGAAATGACCCCATCCTTCTCATCTACGACGGCCATGGCTCACATGAAACTCTGGAGCTACTCAAACTCGCAAAAGCCAACAATATCATTCTCCTCTCACTTCCACCTCATACAACCCATCGCCTCCAACCACTTGATGTTGGTGTCTTTGGTCCATTTTCATGTGCGTGGACTGAACGCTGTGACGAGATCATTGAGACCGAAGGCCAAGAAATGCCTCGCGAGCGATTTGTGCAGGAATACATGGACGTTCGGCATCGCATGTTCAAGCCATCAACAATAATCACTGCATGGAGGAAAAGCGGTGCCACTCCGGTCAATCCTGGAGTGTTTGACGACACCGATTATGCCCCCAGCCTTGCTACCTCATACGCTAATGCTGTTGTTCCACCATCCTTTCCAATTCAACCCTCCTTTTACAATGACGACATCCATTACAGTTTCTGTGAACACTGTCAAGAAGACGAAGAAGACGGAGAAAATGACGAAGAAGATAGCGGCAGCACCACGGACGATGCATTGCCGCCTCCACCTTCTGCTTCAACTAGCCACGGACAACCTATCATGACCCCTTCTCCCATTACTCCCAATCATTCATTCACAGCCAGTGATCCCCCTGCACCCCCCGCATGTGCTCGTATGTCTCAAGTACCTCGGACTGTCCGGTCTCAGTATCGGACTAAAGACGAGTATATTGCTGCGCTTGAGAAAGAGGTTATGGGTCTGCGGTCAGAGAATAGCACTATCGGTGCACATTGTCATCTGATCTATGACCAATATGTTGGTCTCAAGCATAAACTAAACGCTAAAGAGCACCGACCCTCGAAGCGCCGCAAGGTTAATGTTGAGGCGCGATGCGGGAGAAGGAGAATGACGAGCGGCTGGCTGAGGAAGCTAGGAAGGAGGCAGAACGGAATGCAAAGGAGGCAGAGCAGAGAGAGCGTCAGAGTTTGAGGGAAGCTAGAGACAAGACCCTGCCATTCACGGGATCCTTGAAGAGCAAGAACAAGGAGGACCTGAAAGACATTGCGCACAGTCTTGGGCTATCCCTAGAAGGTACTAACAGGGAGATAGTATCATGCATTGAGGCATACTTTGTCTCTCATCCTGAGGTGCGCCGGTCACCAGTTTACGCCGGTCTCACACTATCAAATTCTTGAGGTCATCGAGGCAATGCAATAGCTAATGCAGTCCCTGCCTCAGATACAGCCTCTTCCTCGTCTCCACTCAGTGTGCCCCTTCGTGGTGCATCTAATTTCAATGCCACATCTGCTTCTCAAAACCTCCACAATTTAGATTCACTGTATCATACTGATCATGATGCTTTCGGCCAAGCTGGTCCGTCTTCTAGGTACATTCCCCTTAGCTCTATCGCACATAACCCCCACATTGTCCATAACAATAGTCATTCGAGTTAATGAGTTTACTGTACATATTTCTTACAGTCAATGTAACAATGTTTCATAGTTTCAAGCAACATTTGGTGCTTAGCCTGTGCCTTCATCCTTCTTATCTATTGGTCTATGTGGTTCTGTAACAGTTCGGAGCCTTAATGTTACACCATGCAAAAGATAAACATGGTCGAAGGCACGACAGGGTGTATTCCGGGCTTCTTGGACAAATCTGATGCCAATTCTCGGCATTTTGTTGGCAAGGTGACATTCTGTGACATTCCGTGACTGATGGTTTTAAACACTCCCCTTTTGCGACCCCTCTGTCCAGCACTCCTCTTACGCCAAATTTATTGAACGAATCCCCTCAAGATTTCAAAAGTAGCTACCTAAGATACCATTCTAGTTTATGTGTGGTTCCGAGGAGAGGAAACCCACAGGAAGGGTTAGTCCGAGATCCATTTTCCAAAAATTTTAAACACCCCCCCACTGATAGTAGATACTCCCTTACAATGCAAACATTCTGGAGCCAGAAACACTGCACACTACCCTAGAACCCAACTTTTCATGGTAAAATCCTGCACTTTTCCTCAACAGACACGGGGCCTTAGCTCAGCGGTAGAGCATCTGATTCCAGTATCACATGACTGTTCCAGAAGGTCGTCCGTTCAATCCGGGCAGGCCTCACTCTTTTTATGTTGATGTAGAATGAATTTGTGGAAGGAAGCACGAGGTAAAGAGCCGGAAAAAGTCCGCGAGAGGTAGGCGCTTCGAGTTTTTGTTTATACTTGTAATTCGCGCGTAGAAACATATTTGGGAATATATAGAAGCCATTGTTCACAAGAATGTACCGCAATTCACTGGGGGTAAAGGTGGAACAGAGGAATGCCACCGGAACCAGCGCGACACAGATGGGCGCTTAATTTGCGCGCGGCGACGTCACGTGGCAGCTTTGGGCTGTGTCCCTCGACTCGATGGATTTTAACTGGAAGCCATTACGCATCTAGTATGGGTACATATTTTATACCAGCCATTTCTGTTTGAATATACAAAGACTGATTGTTGAGCGACGCCGGTTACATACTTGGGAAAAAGCCGTCGGTGCGGTGTTACGCCCAGATTTCTATTCGCCGACAAGCTCCGATCAACCTTGCCATTGCATTGGATCATCATGTCTACTGAACCCCTTGCTCTGCCCCAGGCATGCACAAATCTACCCCAACAACCAAAGATGCTGAGGTGCGTATTTCACTCTTCTTAAAATAGCTGAAACTGACTTTTTTCACCCAAGTCAGCCTACGCAAAGGCCACGAGAGCGGAGCTGGCTCAAGATTATAATTCAGCATTCCAAAGTTATATCAAAGCAGCAGAACTATTCTTACACCTCAGTAGAACGAATACCTCTGATGAAAAGAAGAAAGAGAAGTGGAAGAATGATGCGGACAAGGCTCTCCAACGAGCGGAGAAGATCAAACAATTCACCGACAGATTGGGTGGCTCTCGACGAATCTCCAGCACATCTACTGCAGGACCACATGCTGAATCAACACCTTCGATAAGTCTGACACCGGTAGCTATTGATCCATTTTCACCGCGTAAGTTTCAAGGTGGACTCATCATCGTGTTCATCTCTGATCAAAACCAACAGAGGAGCAGTCCTATATTCTGAAGAAAGGCGGTTCGGTGAATGGGTTAGTCGTCCCGCTTTGGGAAGATAGTCACCGTGGAGACCCACGGTCTGTTTCGTGCGTGTTCCCGGACATTTGAGTTACGATAGCCTTCCTAACACCCGGCTTCTTTATTATTAGGTGCAATCCCCGACTGTCAGCTACGCACGAAGAAATGTCAGCATGCTGGCGACAACCCGATGACACTGAATATTCAGCCATCCTGTCCACCGACATCTCACCTCAGGATATATCCCAGAACATTATCGCAGATTGCTCCGTGTGTTCTTCAATATCTGTATGTTTAGAACATGCACAAAGATTTGGCACCAACGTACGGATGTTCAACCTCAATCGTGCTCCCCTCATTGACATGGTCTATTTGCAGCTCGCGAGCTCTATCCTCCATCCAGTGTCACACGAAGCGTCCAACGTCTATCAGCTCAAGATCTTCTTCAATGGTGCCTGGAGAAGGGTAAGAATACCATACTATTCTCGTGGCGTCCAGATTATTGACCGTTACAATATAGATCAGTAAGTGATGTTCATAGGAGTCAGGGATCGCCATTAATGCGGTCGGGTTTCTAGCGATAGACAGCCAGCTCCCATATCACCCGGGTCTCGGCATCCCTCTTTGTTTGACTTGTTCGCCACCACACCAAAAGCCAGTGTTATGGCCTACGCTTCTCGAGAAAGGGGTATGCCCATTTGCTTCAGCCACGTGAATGCCCTTACTGAACAAGTATCCCAGTACATGAAGTTGATGGGGGGCTATGATTTCCCCGGATCGTAGGTGTCCTCCCAAAGTACAACCAGTTATGTGCTAACGGCGCTCACAGGAATTCAAGCATCGATATACAGTACGTTTATCACCACTCCTTGTCGTTGCATAGATGTCACAAAACACTACTTAGTACGCTTACTGGTTGGATACCAGAACACCTAGACGTCAAGAGGTCCGTCATCTACACATAATCCGCATAATGGCTGACTCTGTTTAAAGTCCCAATTTTGAGCGAGAAAGTACATGGGCAAGGCTCCTCGACGGCTTTATCAAAGGTCAGCAGTATAAATGTCACTTACGCATCCCAAGCTGAGACCTTGCAGGTCGCTGCATGGTTACAGTTGGCTCTGGCAAATACTTTCATCCAGATGAAGGCGGGTTGGAGCTCTTACCGTCTCATAGCTATGCAGTGATCGGTATGACGACCGTCATTTCGCGTCTTCGAACTAGCTAACACGGTGAATTACAAGACATGCAAGATGATGGCAGTGAAAGATTCATTACTATCCTGGATCCCTGGGTACGACCATCGGATTCCAGCCTTCCGATTGACCAGTCATCTAGTGCGTCACTTTCTTGTAAACATTTCTCACTTTTCAACGATACTTCACAGGGACTTTGGTTGTACCATGGTCGCGTGCTATCAATGTATTTGAGGGCATTTATCTCAGTTGGGACCCAAAGATATGGCCAAAAACCTTGACGCATCATGGGTAAGGAAATAATCAGAGCTATCTTCATATACTCATTCCTTTTTAGATGGTGGCGAGTAAACGACGGCAAAACCTGTAAGGTCCCGTCTACCCCATTGTTTTGAGGTAATGCTCACTGTGGTACAGCATCCTCACATCTTCGGGTAAAAATATCCTCGAACTTGGACACGGAGATATGGGTATTACTGTCCCGGCACGTCGCAGATACCCGCAAGACTTCCGAGTTTATTGCCTTGAAGGTTCAACTGGAAGACGACGCTGCAGGACGGTCAATGGTCTTTGGCGATGACCATACAATATCTAAGAAGGTCAAATACACCAACAGCCCGCATGTGCTCGTACGTCGTACCTCACTAGACCTGCTCGCCCGACCTCTCATAACCCATCTAGACTAGAGTACAGGTCCCAGCATCACAGCTACAGTCATCAGGCACCCTCTCCGTTTCTGCTTGTTACGAAGGCGCATCGACAGTTGATGTTGCCTACACAGCGACCGTCTACGCCGGAGCTGATGCAGAAATTGCATGGGAGCAACAACCTCAGGGTGTCGTCTATCGTGAAAGAGTATGACCAATGCATCGTCTGAGATGTCTGCTAACTGTCTTTCACAGTTAACCGGTTCTTTGACAACCAAGAATGCAGGAGGTAACTCGACATATCCAAGCTTCATGATCAATCCGCAATATCACCTCCACATTCGCCCTCCGGACAATGTCGTTGCACGATCTTCCAAGGCACACGTTACAGTGACCATGGAAGGTAACAAGGAGCTTCCGATGCATATCATGATCGTTTGGTCGCAAGGTCAACGCATAATCGAGTGAGTTGCATTTGGCTTACTATCTAGTTCTTTACTCAGAAAATTGCATCAGACCATCGGAGAAGGACATCGTGGTCACATCTGGTCGGTATAGTTACGGGTTGGCTAGACTGGCTGTCAAATTAGCTCGTACGATGTTTCCTTTTAGAAGGCGCGAGCATCAACTAACAAGTTGTTTAGCGGGAGACTATAACATTATTGTGTCCACTTTTGAGCCCCATCATACTGGAGAATATAACTTAAACGTGGCAAGCTCTCTCCCGTTTGAAATCAGTAGTATATTGCAAGAAGGTGCTGGCATGTTCAGCAAGACTATTCGAGGGCTCTGGTATGATAATCTTCTCGTCAAATCTGCACGCTCTGATTTCCTGCTAGGAATGCTACAACAGCTGCTGGTGCACCAAGCTACGGCCGCTATTTCCGGAACCCCTTGTTTAAATTCAGCCTTGCCACCCAGGCCAAGATACAGTATGTCGTATCACCTTCCATGCACTACTCGTTTTCACAACGATTCAGGATACGGCTACAGCTTGACAAACCCCAGTCATCAACCTCCTTGAACGTCACTATTTATCCTGCCTCACAAGGCTTGAGCCCCGATCGTCATGTCTGTACTTCCGGAGGCTACGAGGACGCTCTGTCCGGAGTCATCACTCCCATGACCACCCTCTCCAAAGGGAAATACTGGATTATCCCCTCGACATACAACCCTGGTGTACAGACCTCCTTCAAACTGATAGTATACAGTTCGGTGTCGGTGGAACCTGTTCAGCAGCTGGCTCAGGTGACTTGATGTGCTGTTGCAGGCTTTGCAGTGGACTAGATGTCTATTCAATTATTGTAGCTTCTTCGTCGAAGATATGCGGAATGCAGTCGAGGAGAGTAGATACTCGTTGACCCTTTTCAGGGTATTCCTTGACGGATTGGCCTCTGGTCGATCCGATATGATCCATTCCAACCTTGTTCTAATGGTGGACTTATCTGGAGTACACTCAGTTAGGAATATATCCATTTTCCAAACTAGCACGTAGAACGCACCAGGAACCTCGGCCGATTCAGCCCCGACAAACACACCGTCTGAGTTGAAGAATTTCTGCAATGCGGCGACTGCGATACCTACGCCAAGGTCGTTTCCAGTGGGACATGCAACGCACACTGGTAGTCCTTGGGAAAGGCATGATTGAATAAAGTCCATCGAACGAGGTAGGACCACCTGTAGGAAATGCATTTGTCCTTTCTTTCCTTCTGGAATGAATATGCGTAATATCGTTCCCCGTTCATCTAAATTGACATGCGCCTCGCTCTCAAACTGTTCTTCGTGAGAGAGCAGCACATAGGCAACACCGACACCGACGCGAATATCTTTCAAAGCACACAGAAGCAGTCTACTATCGACTTTGCTGATTTCAGTTGGGGGAACGCCCATTTCCTGATTCGATTTGGAGTTGTGGACAACCGAGGCGACGACATCGCTGACTTCGTTCCTCGAGGCCGACAGAATGGTTTGTTGATTGGCCCAAAAAACACTGGGTGTCAAACCCTTGGAAAGAGGTTTAGATATTTCGAGATGTCATTTTAACCCGACTCCACACTCACCATCCCCCAAAGCTCGTGATCATCGCCAGAACCTTGAACATACGCATATCCACCAGTTCGACGGTCCATCCCTAACTCCATTTGTTTCGATGCAGACACGCATATGA